GGCAAATCTCCTAAAACAAAAAGCTTCAGAATTGGTATTGAATTCTATGGATCTTTTCTTCCCACCTATGCAAGACACCATGATTTTCCACCTTGAATAGGAGACTGGATGGAAGCCAAGTGTATACAAATCATTGTTTTACCTTAAAACATGGCTTTTAAATCAGTTTTAAAACACTGGGATTAGCTGTGCCGGAGTACACATAAGGCTTCTATGATTAAGAGTCAAACATAACCAGCCAGCCATCTGGGACCATCTGTCTAGCTGTCCCTGTGCGGTGCTTATCAGCTGCACCAGTTAGTCGCCATCCAGATCTTACCAAAAGCCTGCTTCATGCACATTTACTCTCTAGTTTTCCTCACTAAGAAACATAACAGTTTTCCTGCAATCTGCCAAATTCATGTTATAATCCACTTAACTCTTTGGTACAGATCTAGTATGCCTATATGCTGGAAGAATCTATCATCCATCCAAAAAATGAACTATATATTAATAGTTGTCACTGATAAAGAAGCTGGTAGCAAAAGGGAATCAGGGTGAAGCCTCAGGGGATGGAACTTTTTCACAGCTTCCCATCTGTCCTTAAAGCTGGCAGAAGCTGTATATTTTCTTACTTTATGCTTGTACGAGTACTGCACTGTATCCTTTAATTTGAGAAAGTATCATGTGCAAAGTTGGGCAAAATCAAATACTAAATATGGACAATTGCAGGAAATGTTTCATAGATCAAATGTTCTATGTTTCTCTCTCTCTCTTCAGACTAAGGCTGAGCTCAGACAAGATGGAAATCCTGCCGGTGGGTGCTCCCAGTGTTGGCAGTCTGGGTCCTTCCCTCTCTTTGGGGCGGGGGTTACTCTTTCTGTGAATGATGAGCTGCACAGCTTGGGCATACTCCTGAAACTCCAGATAGCATCTGTGGTCTGTACTGCCTATTACCACCTAAGGTGGATTGTCCAGTTCTGTCCCTACCTTGAAACTGGGTCTCTCACCACACTGCTGCAAGCACTGGTACTCTCAAGATTAGACCACTGTCATACTCTTTATGTGGGGCTACCCTTGGGGCTGTTACAGAGACTCCAGGGGGTCTAGAACTTGGCAGTCAGACTAGTAAGTGGGGTTAGGAGATACCAACATATTTCCCCCACTCTGGCCGCCTTGCACTGGTTACCCACCCGCTTCTGTGCCAGTTTCAAGATGATGGTGTTAACCTACAAAGCCCTAAATGGTTTAGGACCTTGTTACCTGACCAAACACCTCCTTCCAACCAGATCTGCCTGCCCTATAAGAGCCTCACAGGCTGGGCAGTTGAGAGTCCTGACTCCAAGAGAGGCACGAAAAGTGACGACCAGAAACCGGGCCTTCTCGGTAGTTGCACAGCAATTGTGGAATAGTCTCCTGCCCGAAATCTGCCTGGCCCCTTCAATGGGAACCTTAAAAAACTGCCAAAAACCCATCTTTTTAAACATGCCTTTCCAGATTCACATACATTATGATACAATAATGTCTCAACAATTAACTCCAACCCACCACCATGTTTCTATTTTATTTTTCTTTATTATATTATGTCTTCTCTTGTAGTTTTTGTAGTTGTTTTTCACTTTTTAAGTGATTTTATTTTATCTTAATCTTATGATTGTTACTGTACATCTGCTGTTATGTTGTTGTCACTTGTTTGTACACCAGCCAGAGTGGCCTGGCAGCCAGATGGGCGGTATAAAAATTGAATAAAAATAAATAAATATTAAGAATCTCTGCTATCTAACAAAGAAATCTCATAGGTTTTGGAATATATAGTCCACTAGTAAAGGAGGAAAATAGTTTCAGGGACATTACACCAGGAATATAAAGTGAAATATATTATAATTACTCTTAGAATTTACAGCATTTTACAAGCAAGGTTTGTGTCATCATATTTTTTTCCTTCTGAATTAGCCACATTATTTAATCACAAACTACTACAAAAGCTAATCAGAACAGAGCAGAGTGCAAGGGCAAAGAGAAAGCTGTGTAAGGATAAAAGGCTGTTCCAGAATTCAGGCACACGCATGCACACACACACACAGAGAGCAAATGCCAGTTTTCTGGACCTTTCATCTTGAGAAAGAAATATATCTGAGAATAAAAGGACAATTTTTTAAACAAAACTTGCTGAACTGGCTGCCTCCTCTGTAGTATATGACAACTTTCTTTCAACTTTCTACATTATACTATGGCAGAAATCTGTTTTTCTGCTAGGATAACTAGGAAGATAAAAGTTGGACCAGCTGGGAAAATAAAGTTGGTATTTGAAAGGGTGACAGAATATAACATTAGACAATATTTATAATGTCCAAATAGAAGACAGCATTGTAATTGCATACACACTCATTTTTTAAATTCTTTTGATGTCTAAAGATTTACTAAAGTAGTTTAAATTTAAATTAATTGTTTTGGTATGCATCAGTTAAAAATACTAAAAAGTATTTTTCACCCTTTTACCTGAATGTAACAGGGAATTCTTCCACTTGGATTCAATGGCCAAAATCCTGTTGCTCAGCAGAATAAATTGCATTAGACTAGGCCCACTGAATCAATGAATGTATGCTCATTAGATTCACCAAACTAATGGAGGAGTTGGGGTACTAAATTCCAATGATTCAATGGGCCACTCTAGCACAGTTTACTCTGCTTAGCAACAAGATTTGGCCAATGAGACATTCAGCATATGCACACAAACATGGTATATTCCCCTCCCTTCCCTGGACACAGATAAACATCCACAGATTCAGGAGTCCTGTTCCCTAAAGGTCTAAGCACATTGATTTTGCAAAAAAACAACTGTACGGCTATTTTTAAGCAGTTTCTATAATGGTTGCATGTGACCAAACAAATCTATTACCATAGATGACATTGACCAGTTCCCAAGGGCAAAAATGGCAGGGACAAGAGACAGAGACAAATCTGTACAGCTGCAGATGCATATATCAATATAGCCCATTTGCATCAGAATTGCTAATACTACTGTATACAGTACAGTAACTGCAAACATGGTTATTAAAGAAAGTGTGGCTGTAAGGCTCAAGTGTCATTCTAGCTTGCTAAAATGTTGCAAGTAAGAATTACATAGTACAAAGTCTAGGCCTTGAAATCCCTAGTCATGTGTACAGTTCAATTGTCATGGATAGGAAATGAAGACTTTTGAGTCTAAGCAGACTCAGATGTACTGACAACTCATAATTCCTAATACCATTTAATAATTTGCAATACTGTATGTTTCTAAATTCGAGGGACGTGGTGGCGCTGCAGGCTAAACCGCAGAAGCCTGTGCTGCAGGGTCAGAAGACCAGCAGTCGTAAGATCGAATCCACGCGACGGAGTAAGCGCCCGTTGCTTGTCCCAGCTCCCGCCAACCTAGTGGTGCGAAAGTATGCAAATGCAAGTAGATAAATAGAGACCACCTCGGTGGGAAGGTAACAGCGTTCCGTGTCTACGTCACACTGGCCATGTGGACACAGAAGATTGTTTTCGGACAAAACGTTGGCTCTACGGCTTGGAAACGGGGATAAGCACCGCCCCCTAGAGTCGAGCACGACTGGACAAAAAATTGTCAAGGGGAACCTTTACCTATGTTTCTAAATTAGCATGCAAAATATATGTTAAGTCATACAGCCAGTTTTGGCATTAGTAGCAAATATAAAATGGATCCAGGGCCTTTTTACAGTCTGTCGTCCATTACCTATAAATCCCTTGGTGACCTCCCAATTTCTATGCCTAAAAGTTTAAAGGGCTGTATAGTCCTCTAATATTGTTTGTTTGCAACTCCCATCAATCCTAACTATCACAGGTAAACGTGAAAAAGCATGAGACTTGCAGTCCAACCCTTTCTGTAAAGTAATGGAACTGCTCAGCACCTAACATTCCAAATACTTTGCAGACATTGGCCAAAATGTTGATGCTTAGTGTAGTAAATCACACTCAGTCAGTGGAGTGAGTCTGCTCTTCCACAAGAAAGGCTCCTATGGATCATAGAGTCCAGCCCCTGTCAAGGAGGCACAGTGGGGAATCCAACTCCCAATTTAAGACTTACTTTAGCATACTGTAGTTAGAGGAGGCTCATTTAAATCAATGGAAATTATGGAGGGATTCTCACCAAATTCCTATTGCTTCAGTGGGTCTACTCTAATGCAATTTGCCATGCAACAGGATTGTGTCCATTTTCCATGTAACTCCCACAACCCTGTTAAATGTTAGTCACTAGAGGACAAATGGGGATAGATGAGAAGAATCAGCAAAGAAAATCAGTTTGCCTTAAAACATCTAGGGAGCCCGTTTTATGTTTGAGAGAAGCTTCAGCTTTCAAAGGAGCGCCAGTCCTTCTCTCCCTTCCTGGATTCCAGGCAGGGCTTGTGTTCATTCAGCAGAGAACAAGGAGCGCACGCTACACACAATCAGAGGCACTCTCTCAGGTTTTCACGCAATTTAAGCGTGCACACAGGCTCCGGGCCATGAAATGCTTATGAAGTCCAGGAGCTGGACACGATAACAGCTTTCTCTTCCTACGCACGTAATGCATATACGTGTGTGTCTACTATACACAGTAGATGCGGAGGCTCCCCTCCACGAGAGAAAGAATGTCTTCGGCCTTCAGAGAGAAGGCGGGGCCAGAGGGAGGAGCTTGCCCCTCGACCGCCTCGTTTTGGGGAGGGGTCCACGCAGGCGTCCGCGGGAAGCGCTTGCGATGGGTTACTCTAGCATCGATTGGGCAGACCCCCCCTCCTCACCGAGGCCCCCCGAACGCCGCGCCGAGGTTCCATTGCTTAGGCCTAGGCAGCGCGCGCGCCTTTTTTCGCCCGCGAGCCGTGCTTCGCTGCACGTCCCACCTGGCAGCGCGTGTCAGTGCCCCTCCCCCCACCTGGGTCTCGAGCCCATGTTCTTACGGGGGGGGGAAGGTCAGCGGGAGGGCGGGCAGGCTCGCTCTCCCGCCTTTCTTTCTTTCTCTCCCTCCCTGTTCTCCGACTGACCTTGTGCATCGCCGCCGCTGGTAAGCACCGCCAGAGCCAGACCCGCGCCGGCCATCCGTAACTTCTCCAGGTCCAGCCCGGCTGAGCCCAACCCAGTCCCCGCCATTGCTCCGGCTTATGGTCTAAAGTGCAAAGACGCGAGAAGGAATGACAGCCGGCGGCAGCCGCCAGACCCCCGCGCGCCCGGCTCCCTTAGGCCCCGCCCCCACGGCTCGCAGCCACTGGCTCCGCCTAGGGGGCGGGGCTACCTGGCTGGCGCAGCTGCCGCGAGTGCGGAATACGTCACCTCAGGCCAATACAGTATCAGGTTGAGCCTCCTGAGGAGACGGAGTGAGAGAGGGATGTCTTTGGGTGGTCAGCGTCGAAGAGGGCTCGTCCTAGTCAAGGGCGAAGGCCAACAGCAGACCTGCCGAAAAGCCATGGGACTCTTTCTAATCGTGACTGACAAACCCCGTTTACCCCGAGGGTCTCTGCTCGGTAGACAGTGCAGTGCCCTACTAGGGAGCGTGAGCCGGTATTTTAAAAAGCGCTGCTGTTTCGCGAAAGGTGCTTCGGCTCTTGGTCGTTCAGGATTCCATTTTCCACAGTGGCCACAGGCAGCTTTCGAGGAGGGAGGATTCCTCCTCCCTTTTCAAAGACAACTGGGCTACTGAAGGTCACTTTGTAGTACAGTAGTTTCCTTGGAAGAGTCATGATTTGCTTTCAGTGATAACTAGGTCCAACAAATACCCTGTTTTCCTGAAAATAAGACCTAACCTGAAAATAAGCCCTAGTATGACTTTTCAGGATGCTGGTAATATAAGCCCTACCCCAAAAATAAGCCCCAGTGAAATGAAACCCCACCCTCCACCATTGTGCAGCAACCAAAAGAAAATGACATGACTGTATATGAAAAAAAAATTAAACATCCTCTGAATATAAGCCCTAATGTGTGTGTGTGTGTGTGTGTTTTTTTTTTTTTTT